GCAAAGTCATAGGCCACAAACTTAAGACACAAAAGTTGCCTACATATTAGCAACAAATAATCTAAGGTTTAATTTATGGAAATTATCAGTCTACTACCGTGGTTCAGGCAAGGCGCAGTACCGGGAATGGAGGTGCCCCAGAGTTCTGGGTGGAGGCTGTAACATGGCCTCCACATTCATGACTCCCCCTGCTTGGGTTGGAGCTTGCTTTGTCCATGGCCACTGACCCTTAACGTTGTCTTTGGACTTTGAAGGAGTATGCACTATCTGGTGCATGTGGTGACCACTTGGATTGCTGTAGTTGATGGATCCAAAGTAGAAGCTTCAGTGGTTCTTGGGAGCATCAAGATACCATACCAGAAACCTGCAATGTTCTTTGAGCCTAGTGATCTCTTGGGGTAATGGAACTCCTGGCCTCTCACTGAAATGCAAGGTTCTGTTCAGAATAAATCAATAGAAATGAAGACTGCACCAACATCCACATCAGCCAGAAGTAAAAAAAGAAAACCATGATAGCCCATGTTCAAGAAGCTATTCTGTGGTCACTGAAGAATTAGTAATTGTAAGCATGGTACCTGCATTGGAACATGTCAAACCTCCAACAAGTAATGACTTAGAAACTGCATCCACGAAAGTGGAAGAACAGATTGAAAGAGGTGAACATAACCAACCACAGTGTGAAGAAGAAATGAAGTTCAAAAGCAATGAAGTGCAAGTATCAGAAACCCTGTGTGAATGTGCTGCTTCTGCAGGTGACAGTGATGGTAGATTCATTCCACAAAGAAAGAATAGAAACCCCCACAACCTGTAATTTCTATCAAGAAGGATGAGGGGTATTTTAAAGAAGCAGTATAAATAAGCAATATCATGAAGATGCAGACATGCACCAACAACTTGAACCAGCACTTAGCACACTGAACTGGAAGATAGGACTTTCAAAAATGATTTTTAGCTAAACACCATCCAGAATCATCATTCTGGACAAGAGAGTACAAGAAAACCACAAGCTGAAATGCAGATGAGTAACCTTTGCCAATGAAAGGAGGTAGACATTGCTCCAAAGGAATCATGAGGAAATGGTGAGCAAACTTCATCAACAGGCTAATACCAAAAACCCACATCCTGTTATATCAGAGCAGTCACTGGAGACTATAAGTTACTGTTTTAAGATAGACAATGAAATAAAAAATCTGAAGAAGGCTTTAAGGGAAACCCAAAGACATTACCACGAATTGCAAGATCAATAAAAGGAGATGGTACAAAGTGCTGAGAAAACTCAAGATTATACATTCAAATTATCATGCAAAATAACCCAAGTCTTTCTAAAGTCCATTTGACATATACTATGAGAATTACAACAGTTTTGGTTATAAACACGTCAAAATGAAGCCAGAGACACTTTCAGTTTTAAACTATTTTGAAATGCATACTTTTTGCACATTATCCCTAAATATTGTGCATTATTCAAAAACAGAAATTATGGCTTGCGCCGTGGCTCACTAGGCCAATCCTCCACCTTGTGGCGCTGGCAACCAGGTTCTAGTCCTGGTCGGGGCGCCGGATTCTGTCCCGGTTGCCCCTCTTCCAGGCTAGCTCTCTGCTGTGGCCAGGGAGTGCAGTGGAGGATGGCCCAAGTGCTTGGGCCCTGCACCCCATGCGAGACCAAGATAAGTACCTGGCTCCTGCCATCGGATCAGTGCAGTGCGCCGGCCGCAGTGCACCAGCCGCAGCGGCCATTGGAGGGTGAACCAACGGCAAAGGAAGACCTTTCTCTCTGTCTCTCTCTCACTGTCCACTCTGCCTGTCAAAAAATAAAAAAGAAATGGAAATTCATGCTATGTTTCCAAGTAATTACTTGATATTTCTAGGAATTTACATGGTAACCCCTTCAGATGCTTATTCATAAATGTGTTTTCTTTTTTAGAAAACTTATTTAATAAATATAAATTTCCAAAGTACAACTTTTGGATTATAGCAGTTTTTCCCCCCATAACTACCGTCACACCCACAAACCATCCCATATCCTATTCCTTCTCCCATCCCATTCTTCATTGAGTCATTTTAATTATCTTTATATACAGAAGATCAGCTTAGCATATACTAAGTAAAGATTTCAATAGATTGAACCCACCCAGACACAGAAAGTATGAAATAGTTTGAGTATTAGTTTTACCATTTTTTTTTTTTGACAGGCAGAGTGGACAGTGAGAGACAGAGACAGGAAGGTCTTCCTTTTGCCGTTGGTTCACCCTCCAATGGCCGCCGCGGCCGGCGCACCGCGCTGATCCGATGGCAGGAGCCAGGAGTCAGGTGCTTTTCCTGGTCTCCCATGGGGTGCAGGGCCCAAGCACCTGGGCCATCCTCCACTGCACTCCCTGGCCACAGCAGAGAGCTGGCCTGGAAGAGGGGCAACCGGGACAGAATCCGGCGCCCCGACCGGAACTAGAACCCGGTGTGCCGGCGCCGCTAGGCGGAGGATTAGCCTAGTGAGCCGTGGCGCCGGCCAGTTTTACCATTAATTTGCATAGTATAACACATTAAGGACAGAGAGCCTACATGGAGAGTAAGCGCACAGTGACTCCTATGGTTGATTTAACAATTGACACTCTTATTTGTGACATCATTAATCACCGAAGGCTCTTGTGAGCTGCCAAGGCTATGGAAGTGTTTTGAGTTCACAAACTCTGACGTTATTAGACAAGGCCATAATCAAAGTGGAAGTTCTCTCCTACCTTCAGAGGAAGGAAACTCCTTTGATGGCCCCTTCTTTCCACTGGGATATCACATAGATCTTTCATTTAGGTAGTTTTTTATCACAGTGTCTTGGCCTTCCATGCCTGAGAAACTCTCATGGACTTTTTAGCCAGATCTGAATGCCTTAAGTGCTGATTCTGAGGCCAGAGTGCTGTTTAGGACATCTGCCATTCTACGAGTCTGCTGTGTATCCCGCTTCCCATGTTCGACCGTTCTCTCCTTTTTAATTCTATCAATTATTATTAGCAGACACTGGTCTTATTTATGTGATCCCTTTGACACTTAATCCTACCTTTATGATCAATTATGTACTTAACCTGATCACTATAACTAGTAAGATGGCATTGGTACATGCCAACTTAATGGGATTTGGAATCCCTGGCATGTTTCTAACTCTACCATTTGGGGCAAGTCCGATTGAGCATGTGCCAAACTGTAGATCTCCTCCCTCTTATTCCCACTCTTATTTTTAACAGGGATCAATTTTCAGTTAACTTTAAACACCTAAGAATAATTGTGTTAAAGAGTTCAACCAATGGTATTAAGTATAACAAAAAAATACCGAGGCCGGCACTGCGGCTCACTAGGCTAATCCTCTGCCTTGTGGCGCCGGCACACCGGGTTCTAGTCCCGGTCGGGGCGCCGGATTCTGTCCCGGTTGCCCCTCTTCCAGGCCAGCTCTCTGCTGTGGCCAGGGGGTGCAGTGGAGGATGGCCCAAGTGCTTGGGCCCTGCACCCCATGGGAGACCAGGAGAAGTACCTGGCTCCTGCCATCGGATCAGCGCGGTGCGCCGGCCGCGGCGGCCATTGGAGGGTGAACCAACGGCAAAAGGAAGACTTTTCTCTCTGTCTCTCACTGTCCACTCTGCCTGTCAAAAAAAAAAAATACCAAACAGAATAAAGTATTAAGTTGTTCCTTGACAGTCAGGACAAGGGCTGATCAAGTCCTTGTTTCTCACAGTGTCGGTTTCACTTTTAAAGGTTTCCTTTTAGGTGCTCAGTTGTCACAGATCAGGGAGAACATATGATATTTGTCTCTTGGGACTGGCTTATTTCACTCAGCATGATGTTTTCCAGATTCCTCCATTTTGTTGCAAATGATGGATTTCATAGCATTAAAAGCAATAAGTGCAGAAATAAATTTAGCCATAGAGTTTAAGACTTGTATAAAAAACCTACACGGTTAAAGAAGAGGAAAGTGTTTTGTCCTGGCAGTTGATGCTGCTTGGGATACCTGTCTCCTATTACGGAGTGTCCGGTTTGTCGTACCAACTCCCCTCCCAATTCTAGTTTCCTACCAATGCAGATCATGAGATGCAGTGGTGTTGACTCAAGTAGTTGGGTCTTTGCCACCATGTGAGAGATCTTGATTCAGTTCCCAACTCTTAGCTCCAGCATGGTCCAGCCTCAATCATGTTGGCTTTGGAGTAGTGAACTAGCTGATAGTACTATCTCTTTTTCAATATGTTTGCCTGCCTCTGAAAGAAACAAATATTGTAATAAAGATATAAATAGATACACATCTGTTGTTCATAGATTAGAAGATTAATAATATCAAGATATAACTATTACCCCAAACAAGCTACAGATTCATTCCAATCTATAAAATACCCATTTGTAGGCTTTGTAGAAATAAAAATTCTATTCTCAAATTCACATGAAATCTTGGAAAACAAGAATGAATATGGAGAACTCACACTTTTGATTTGAAAAGTTGTTACAAAACTACAGAAATCAAAAGAGTCTGATACTGATTTAAAGATAAACATACAGGGGCCAGTGCTGTGGTGTAGTAGGCTAAGTCTCTGCCTGGAGCACCGGCAACCCATGTGGTTGCTCCTCATCCTATCCAGCTCTCTGCTTATGGCCTAGAAAAGCAGTGGAAGATGGCCCAAGTGCTTGGGATCCTGCACCTCTGTGTAAGACTCAAAAGAAGCTTCTAGCTCCCGTCTTTGGATCGGCCCACCTCTGGCCGTTGTGGCCATTTGGGGAGTGAACCAGCAGATGGAAGACCTTTCTCTCTGTGTCTCTCCCTCTCTTTGTCTATAACTCTACCTCTCAAACAAAAATCTTAAAAAATGTGCATACAGACCAATAGAACACAGAGCATAGAGGAGCTGGCATTGTGGCCCAGTGAGTAAAAGTACTATCTGCAATGCTGGCATACCATATGAGTGCCAGTTTGAGTCCTGGCTGCTCTTCTTCTGATCCAGCTCCCTGCTAATGCACCTGGGAAAGCAGTGGAAGATGTTCCAAGTATCAGGGCCCCTATCACTCTTACAGGAGACATGGATGGAGTTCTAGTCTCCTGTTATCCTGTCCCAGTCCGGGTGGTTGTGGCCTCTTGGGGAGTGAGCCAACAGATGGAAGAATGATCTTGCCTTCTCTCTCTCTCTCATATATATATATATGTATATATATATATATATATATATATATATATATGAACAGAGAGCAGGGAAAGCAACCACTACATATATGACCCAGTAATTTTTGATGCACGCTAAGATCATTTCAACAAATGGTGTGGAGAAAACTGGATATCCACATGCAGAACAATGACTTCTATCTAACATATACAAAATTAACTCAAGAGATCAAATCTAATTTAAGACCCAAAACTGAAAAAACTCTTGAGGTAATGCTGGAAACATTATCATGTTTTATGTTGTGGTCATACAGGTCTTGATCATTGTCAAAAGTCAACAACTTGAACATCTGTGCATTTTTTATATAAGCTGCAGCACAATTCATAAAAAAACATTAAAAATATATTTGCAGAGCAAAAAGCACACTGATATTTAAGTCTATTTATACAACATGCCCAGTGTCAAAGATTTGAAAGGTAAGAGTTTCTCCTGCAATCCTCATTGAAGTTACACAATTTATTTTATTTGCCTGCCTTTCATAATTACAACTTTAGGAACATAATAATTCATCCCACCGTTCCCAACCTTCCACCCACATTCCTCCTTCCACCCACATTCCTACCCCTCTTCCTCCTCCATCTCCTATTCCCAGTCTTTTTTTTTTACTATGATCTATTTTCAATTAACTTTATACACTGAAGATTAATTCTATTCTAGGAAAAAGAGTTCAACACTTTGTATGAGGAAAATAAGAAAAACTGTTCCTCAACAGTCCAGACAAGGGCTGTTCAAAGGCATTGCATTTTGATGTTAATTTCACTTTTCCTTCCCCTCTCTCTTTCACTCCATTTCTTTTTAGAAGTTTATTTTTAAAGAACCCAGAGTGATGTATCTTTTGTGAACATGTAGACACAACTATAACTTATGAGACATAAGAATATCCTCCACTTAAAATACTAAAATGAAGTAATTACATTTTGCTATTAACTCTCATAATACAACTCTTTCAGGATAGAGATACTGCATGGGAAGTTAGTGCACAGTGACTCCTGTTAATTTAACACCACCCTTATGTATGACATCAGTGATCACTCAAAGCTCTTGGCATGAGCTGCCTAGGCTATGGAAGCCTTTTGGATCCACAAACTCCTTAAGTATTTTGACAAGGCCATAAGCAAAGTGGAAGTTCTCTCCTTCCTTCAGAGAAAAGTACATCCTTCTTTGATGGCTGCTTCTTTCCACTGGTGTCTGTCTCACAGTGGTCCTTCATGTAGGACACTTTTTGTAACAATGTCTTGGCTTTCCATGCCTGAAATGCTCTCATGGGCTGTTCAGCCAGACCAGAATGACTTTCTTTCTGTGCCTTCAGGAACTCCTAAGGCCCGTATGTTGGGTCATTTGATAATATCTTGTAGATCTCCAGTCTTTTTTAGTTTTCTAATTTCTTCTTATTTTTGCTCTGACTGTAAAATTTCCAGAGCTTTGTCTTCTAGCTCTGATATCTTTCTTCTGCCTTAATGCTGTTGTTGGCTTTCCACTGAGTGAATTCTTCATTTCTAGTGTTTCATTTTGATTTCTATTTAAGATCTCAATTTCATGGGAATTTTCATATCATATATAGTTTTCTTTAGTTCGTGAATTTGCTTCTGAGTAATCCAATGATTAGTTTTTGGAATTTCTGGCATGTCCTCTATCTCTTCATCTTCACCTTGTAATATTGAGATGTTGTAATGTTCCTTTTGGGGGCTCATAGGTCTTCCTCATTTTTTTATTTTTTTGCCTTTATTTTTTGGCATTTGTAGAATTGTTTTTGTCTGATGGCTTTTATCCTTGGTCTGTGTCTCTGTGGCTTAGTGGGACACCTATAGTTTCAGTGAATACCAAGAGGTGTTTGCAGGGTGTGGCCCAGTTACTCAGTTCAGTATTCCAGGGTAGGGCGAATATCCAGAGTAAGACTCCAGTTGGGCCTGGTAGCTCTCCACTGGTTAACTGGCTGGAGAGGAATGGTCACCTCTGTTGGTGTGACCAGCACTTCTTACTGCTACATGATGCCCCGGTGTTAGTCCCCGGTATGCTCAGCACTCATTTGCACTATTTTTTTTAACTGACTTTTGATCTGTGGAGTCTTTCCTATGAAGATGGATCCTTCTGTTGTGAGCTACTGTAGGCAACTTAGGCACTCAGAGTGCAGGGAAGCTCTGATTGCCCAGGACCTAGCCACACCCTGTCTTCTCTTCTGCAGTCACTATTTTCTCAGACTCAGCTTCCAGGTCATGGATTGTTGGTGGGGTCACTCCACCCTGCTAGCCAGTCCTCTCTATAGGGAAACGAAGGTGATCCCAGAGCCATTGTCTGTGTGTAGTCCTACTAACCAAATTCAGTGTCAGTGTGTGGCGGGGTGGGATTCCCTCTCTGGTTAGGTCTGTGTTTGCAAGCGTGCAAAGTATCCACCTGCTGCAGCCCCACTCACTTCCTGGATGCAGGTCTCTAGTGTAACAGGGAAGGGGGAGGGAGAGAGGTACACCACCTCTTTTTTCCTCCCCCACCCACTTCTGGGTGCTTGTTTGCTTGCTGTCTTAGGGGGTCCACATGGAACTCTAAAAGCAGTTCACCAAGCCTTCCCTCCCACTGTTATCAGTAGTGCTGTGGGCCTGTGGA